TGCTATTATTTCAGCCTGTGAATTTTTCAATTTTTCGATTTTTCGACTTGTCAGTTTATGGATTTTTAATTTTATCGATTTCTTTTCTTCAGTTTTTCGTTTCTTCAATTTTTGGATTTGATTTTTCCGTTTTTTCAGTTTTTAGGTGAAGTTTTTCGTTTCTTCAACTTCTCTATTTTTTTGTTTCGCGTTTTTTCAATTTTCCCCTTCTTCAATTTTGTGATTGTTTTTTTTTTCTTTTTTTCAATTTTAACGGAACATTTTAGTTTGATTTTTTATTGTTCTATTTTTCTATTGTTCGATTTTTCAGTTTTTCGTCTAGTTTTATGATTTTTCAATATTTCGGTTTTTCAACTTTTAAACTCTTTTTATTCTTCAATTTTTCGGATTTTCCGTTTATGGATTTTTAATTCTTCGATTTTTGTTTTTTTCTTGTTCGATTTTCACTTCAATTTAAAATTCTTTGTCTTCCGATTTTTTCGATGTATCGCTTTTTTTTTTCTACATTTTGTCCGTTTTCACTTTGCAAAATTGTAAAATTATAAATAAGATTTGAACCATTTGAAAATCGAAAAAATTAAAAACCGTACTAATAAATTGTAAAGTCAAAATAATTCAGAATTATGAAACAGAAAAGTTGAAAAACTGAAAAAATGAAAAATCGAACGAAAATTCAAAAATCAAATGCTGAAAAATCGAAAAATTGCACAATTGTAAGATTGAAAAGTCGCAAAATATCGGACAACTGCAAAACCGAAAAATTGAAAGGTTCTAGATCGAGAAATTGAAAAATTAGAAAACCAAAATCGGATAATTGTAAATTTAAAAAATTCTGGACCTGAATATTTAAAAAGTCGAAAATTGAATCGATAAATCAGATCGATAAATTAAACAATAAAAAATTGAGAAATTGTAAAACTGAAAATTCGAAGAATGCAAAATTGAATAATTGAGAATTTAAAATTTAAAAAAATCGAGAATGTAAAGTCAAATTAAAAAATCGGAAAATTGAAAAACGAACAATTAAAATGTGTAGATTGACTAATTGAAACATTTTTCGTTTTCCAATTTCCCGGTGTTTCAATTTTCAGTTCTGCTATTTTTTCAATTTTTCAATTTTTCGACTTGTCAGTTTATGGATTTTTAATTTTATCGATTTCTTTTCTTCAGTTTTTCGTTTCTTCAATTTTTGGATTTGATTTTTTCGTTTTTTCAGTTTTTAGGTGAAGTTTTTCGTTTCTTCAAATTCTCTATTTTTTTGTTTCTCGTTTCTTCAATTTTTCCTTTCTTGAATTTCTCGATTATTTTTTGTTTCTCGATTTTTCAATTTTCCGTTTCTTTTTCGTTTTTTTCAATTTTAAGTAAGATTTTTCGTTTCTTCAATTTTTCGATTTCTTATGGTTATTATACATAATTTTTTCTTTCTCCAATTATTCGATTCTTTTCTCATTTTTCGAATTTTTCTATTTTTTTTTGTTTCGCGTTTTTTAAAATTTTCCCTTCTTCAATTTTGTGATTGGATTTTTTTTTCAATTTTTAGGGAACAGTTTAGTTTGATTTTTTTATTGTTCTGTTTTTCAGTTTTTCGTCTACAGTTTTATGATTTTTCAATATACCGGCTTTTCAACTTTTAAACTCTTTTTATTCTTCAATTTTTCGGATTTTCAGTTTATAGATTTTTAATTCTTCGATTTTTGTTTTTTTCTTGTTCGATTTTCACTTCAATTTAAAATTTTTTGTCTTCTGATTTTTTCGATGTTTCGCTTTTTTTCTAAATTTTGTCTGTTTTCACTTTGGAATTTTTCAATGTTTTACTTTTCCAATTGTTTGACTTTTTTTAGTTTTTCGATCTTCAATTTTAAATTTTTAATTCTTCCGTTTCTCGACCTTCAATTTTCTCTCAAAATTTTTCATGTTTCGACTTGTAAAACTGAAAATTCGAAGAATTGCAAAATTGAATAATTGAGAATTTAAAATTTTAAAAAATCGAGAATGTGAAGTCAAATTAAAAAATCGGAAAATTGAAAAACGAAAAATTAAAATGTGTACATTGACTAATTGAAAAATTTTTCCAATTTTCCGATGTTTCAATTTCCTGTTATTGTCATTTTTTCAACGATTTTTTTTTATCTTTTCTGCTATTTTTTCAACCTGTGAATTTTTAAATTTTTCGATTTTTTTAAATTTCACAATTTTTCGACTTGTCAGTTTATGGATTTTTAATTGTATCGATTTCTTTTCTTCAATTTTTCGTTTCTTCAATGTTTGGATTTGATTTTTTCGTTTTTTCAGTTTTTATGTAAAATTTTTCGTTTCTTGAATTTTTCCATATCTTAGTTGTTATTATACATAATTTTTTATTTCTCCAATTATTCGATTTTTTCTTGTTTCCTCATTTTTCGAATTTTTCAATATTTTTTTTGTTTCGCGTTTTTTCAATTTTTCGCTTCAATTTTGTGATTGGAATTTTTTTCTTTTTTCAGTTTTTAGGGAACATTTTAGTTCTTGCAGTTTTTCGTTTTGCATTTCATTGATCTTCCAAATTTCAATTTTGTTTTTCGTTTCTTTAGTTTTTTGTTTTTTTATTTATCGCTGTTTCACTTTTTTGGTTTTTTCAATTACTTCTTGTTTGTCGTTTTTTCGGTTTTTCGATTTGTAATTTCTCTACTTTTAAATATATACCTAATTTTCTGTTTCTTCAATTTTCGTTTTTTTTTTCTCGATTTTTAAATTTTTCGGTTCGTCAGTTTTCAGACTTTTCAAAAAAATGTAAAATTGTAAAACTGCAAAATCGTAAAAATTATAAATTACAAATTGAAAAATTCAAAATTGCAAAATTGAAATATCGAAAAATTTTAAAATTGTAAAATTATAAGAATTGAACAATTTGAGTATAGAAAAAATTAAAAATCATATTATTAAATTGTAAAATCAAAACATTTTAAAATTATAAACTATGTATGTAGAAAAGTTGAAAAACCGAAAAATTCTGAAATCGAGAAATTTTAAAATCGAAAAAATCAAAGTTTGGGTAATTGTAAAATCGGAAATTTTCAAAATTGAAAAACCGAAAAATGGAAAGCTTGAAAAATTAAAATCGAAAATCGAAAATTATAAACTGAGAATCGAAAAACTGGAAAAATCCGATAATTGCGAAATCGAAAAATTGAAAGATTCTAAATCAAGAAATTGAAATGTGAGAAAACCAAAAATTGGATAATTGTAAAATTAAAAAATTCCAAAATTACCAATTCTGGAAGTGGAATTAAAAATTGAAAAATTGTAAAACTGAAAAATCGAATATGAAGTAAAATTGAAAAATCGGAAAATTGAAAAACGAAAAATTATAAAATATTACCATTGACAATTTGAAAAGTTTTTCCTGCGTTTCAGTTTCAGTTATTGTCATTTTTTGACACATTTTTTTTGTTTTGTTTTTTTTTTGCGCATTGATGCTGCATTTTGTTGTTTTTGTTTTCACCTTTTTTGTAATTTTTTGCGCGTAATTTTACCTCTTTTTTGAGTGGCATTTTTGTGACTCTTTTATCCTCCCTTTTTTGTCGGTTTTTTCCTCTTTTTTTGTTCCTTTTTTCACGCATTTTTTTTTTCCTTAAATCTTTTGTTATACTTTTCTTATGAATTTTACCGTAATTGGATCTGGGACTTGTCGCAAAATAAAGGTTATTTTTTTAATAAGGATTTTTTTATTTTATGTTTAAATATGTGTACCCCTTTTTTTGTTCGGCATTTTTGTGCCTTTATTTACACATTCTTTTGTAGCTTTTTTTACGCATTTTTGCTTTTTTTTTGGGCATTTTTCTTATTTTTTGTCGCTTTTTTCTCGTTTTTCGGTCGGCTTTTTATTATTATTTTTTTGTCGCTGTTTCACCCTTTTTTGTTGACCAGGGTTTTTTTCTTCTTTTTTTTTGTCACCTCTTCTTTGTCTTTTTTGTTTAATAATAAATATTTTACGCATTTTTGTTGTTTTTTATAATTTTTTAAAACGTCTTGTCTTTTTTTTATCTTTTTGTGTCTCTTTTTTAACACATTTTTTTTTAACGCATTTTTTGAAATCAAGTTTTTGAGCATTTTTTGTCCGTTTTTTCACTTCTTTTGACGCATTTTTGAAGGTTTTTTTTGTCAATTTTTCTTAGTTTTTTGTTGCATTTTTACCGCTTTTTTCGTCGCTTTATTTATCTCGGTTTATTTTTTTTCCCGTCTTTTTTCTAATTTTTGCGTGGTTTACTTCTTTTTTCATTTAGCATTTTTAATGGCTTTTTTATAGTAATTTTTTTGTGTCTATTTTTGCCACCTTTTTTTTCCCACTTATTTACCTTTTTTTATGCATTTTTGTAGTTTTTTTTTTCAACTTTTTTTTTATCATTTTTTATGAGTTTTACTCCATTTTTTTGTCGTGGATTCGCAAAATCAAATTTTATAAGTTACCTGAAAAACTCGATTTGTTTAAATTTCTTTAAATTGTACGTCCGACGCCTACCTTGCGATTAAAAAAATAGTCACAATTGAAAAAAATATCGATGACATCACAACTTAGAAAATTAATTCCTACAATTTAAAAATCAATAGCTAAAAATCATTGTCCCGTATAAGTCTCGCCAAATTCAAATAACAATCACGTTTAATCCAAAGTCACCAAAAAAGGAAACACGTGGGCTCAAGCCGTGCCATTACTAGCATCCGCCGCGCTCGTGTGTTCATCGGGGGTATAGCTCAGTGGTAGAGCATTCGACTGCAGATCGAGAGGTCCCCGGTTCAAACCCGGGTGCCCCCTCAGTCTTTTTTCTTTTTTTTTTCTCCTCTCCATCAACGTCCGCTCCATCACAACAACAAAATGAATCACAATTGACGATTTCGGTAATTATTTGTCGCCCAGACGCCGGTCACTATCGAGCGCTGAAAGGTTTAAGGTCAATCGGTCATTGATTGTTATTCACAATGGCTCTCATTGTTCTCACCCAATACTCTGCTTTCGGCCGCAGGACCGGATCCAGGACACCCAACGGCGAGTCGAAATCGTGGTTCGGAAGCAAGCCGACGAAGCCGGCGAAGAGCAGGGACGTCCAGGTATGCAGAAAGTCGGAAACGACGCGATTGCGTTATCTAGCTTGTCGTAGATAAAGCCGATTTCGGCGTCCTCGCCGGCCCTGAACAACAACAATGAGGGCAAGAAGAGCGCCAGGCCGCTGACGATCGCCACGGACTCGAACATTACGCTGAGGAGGTGAGTTTTTTGTGTTTTCGAGGCGAGGACGGTTTCTGTGGCGTAAGGAGCTTTTTTTTTCCGTTATTTAGCCCGTTTAGTGTTTTATGACCTTTTTATGGATACGCATTCCGTGCCTCATTGCATACAAATAATTATCTTCGGTGGTATCAAGGACGAAATGTGAATCATTCATACCAACTTAATCCAATTTACACGACCTCGCTATCAACAGGTGGCTGGCGGAAAGGAAACACCGTTTTGAGTGCAAAGTTTTTATTATTAATGGACTGAAATACATTAAAATAATCTGGAATGCATTTCCGCCCGTTTTAAAAGTAGTGGGGAATTTGAAACCTCTAAATCTTAATTTGCTAAAATTCTCGTTGGGAAAATTCTAAATTCCAAAAATCTTCCTTGGTTAATTTTTTTAAAACTACACAAATCTAATAATTTTCGTTTCCAAAATTCCAAAATCTGAAAATCTCGCTTGATTTTGTTGAAGGAAATTTTAAAAATCACTGTTTTCGAAAATTTGGAATTTCCTTAAAAAATTAAATGTTCAAATCACTTGTAAATCTTAATTGTTTGCTGAAATTTTCGTTCCGAAATTTCCAAAATCCGAAAATTTTGGTTGATTTTGTTAAAAGTGCACAAATCCAAAGTCGTTTTCGAAAATTCTGAGAACCAAATGTTTAAATTACATCGGAAGAAAATCTTCGTCGATCTTCTTTAAGATAAATCAAAAATTCCAGTTTTCGAAATTTCGAAATTCTCTTGAAAATTAAAATTTCAAATTTCGTGAAAATCTTAATTATTTGCCGGAATTTTCGTTTCAAAATTCCAAAATCTGAAAATCTCGGTTGATTTTGTTGAAGGAAAATTTAAAAATCACTGTTTTCGAAAATTCGTAATTCCTTTGAAAATTAAATGTTTAAATCACGTGGAAATCTTAATTGTTTGCTGAAATTTTCGTTTCCAAATTTCCAAAATTCAAAAATCTTGGTTCATTTTGTTCAAAATGGACAAATCCAAAGTCGTTTTCGAAAATTCTGAGAACCAAATGTTTAAATTACATCTGAAGAAAATCTTCGTCGATCTTCTTTAAGATAAATCAAAAATTCCAGTTTTCGAAACTTCGAAATTCTCTTGAAAATTAAATTTTCAAATTTCGTGAAAATCTTAATTATTTGCCGGAATTTTCGTTTCAAAATTCCAAAATCTGAAAATCTCGGTTGATTTTGTTGAAGGAAAATTTAAAAATCACTGTTTTCGAAAATTCGGAATTCCTTTAAAAATTAAATGTTTAAATCACGTGGAAATCTTAATTGTTTGCTGAAATTTTCGTTTCAAAATTTCCAAAATCCGAAAATCGTGGTTGATTTTGTTAAAAGTGGAAAAATCCAAAGTCGTTTTCGAAAATTCTGAGAACCAAATGTTTAAATTACATCTGAAGAAAATCTTCGTCGATCTTCTTTAAGATAAATCAAAAATTCCAGTTTTCGAAATTTCGAAATTCTCTTGAAAATTAAATTTTCAAATTTCGTGAAAATCTTAATTATTTGCCGGAATTTTCGTTTCCAAAATTCCAAAATCTGAAAATCTCGGTTGATTTTGTTGAAGGAAGATTTAAAAATCACTGTTTTCGAAAATTCGGGTTTTCCCTTGAAAATTAAAAGTTTAAATCACGTGGGAATCTTCATTGTTTGCTGAAATTTTCGTTTCGAAATTTCCAAAATCTGAAAATCGTGGTTGATTTTGTTAAAAGTGCACAAATCCAAAGTCGTTTTCGAAAATTCTGAGAACCAAATGTTTAAATTTCATCTGAAGAAAATCTTCGTCGATTTTCTTTAAGATAAACCAAAAATTCCAGTTTTCGAAATTTCGAAATTCTCTTGAAAATTAAATTTTCAAATTTCGTGAAAATCTTAATTATTTGCCGGTATTTTCGTTTCCAAAATTCCAAAATCTGAAAATCTCGGTTGATTTTGTTGAAGGAAAATTAAAAATCACTGTTTTCGAAAATTCGGAAATCCCTTGAAAATTAAATGTTTAAATCACGTGGAAATCTTAATTGTTTGCTGAAATTTTCGTTTCCAAATTTCCAAAATTCAAAAATCTTGGTTGATTTTGTTAAAAGTGCACAAATCCAAAGTCGTTTTCGAAAATTCTGAAAACCAAATGTTTAAATTACATCTGAAGAAAATCTTCGACGATCTTCTTTAAGATAAATCAAAAATTCCAGTTTTCGAAATTTTGAAGTTCTCTTGAAAATTAAAATTTCAAATTTCGTGAAAATCTTAATTATTTGCCGGAATTTTCGTTTCAAAATTCCAAAATCTGAAAATCTCGGTTGATTTTGTTGAAGGAAAATTTAAAAATCACTCTTTTCGAAAATTCCGAATTCCTTTAAAAATTAAATGTTTAAATCACGTGGAAATCGTAATTGTTTGCTGAAATTTTCGTTTCAACATTTCCAAAATCCGAAAATCGTGGTTGATTTTGTTAAAAGTGGACAAATCCAAAGTCGTTTTCGAAAATTCTGAGAACCAAATGTTTAAATTACATCTGAAGAAAATCTTCGACGATCTTCTTTAAGATAAATCAAAAATTCCAGTTTTCGAAATTTTGAAGTTCTCTTGAAAATTAAATTTTCAAATTTCGTGAAAATCTTAATTATTTGCCGGAATTTTCGTTCCAAAATTCCAAAATCTGAAAATCTCGGTTGATTTTGTTGAAGGAAAATTTAAAAATCACTGTTTTCGAAAATTCGTAATTCCTTTGAAAATTAAATGTTTAAATCACGTGGAAATCTTAATTGTTTGCTGAAATTTTCGTTTCCAAATTTCCAAAATTCAAAAATCTTGGTTCATTTTGTTCAAAATGGACAAATCCAAAGTCGTTTTCGAAAATTCTGAGAACCAAATGTTTAAATTTCATCTGAAGAAAATCTTCGTCGATCTTCTTTAAGATAAATCAAAAATTCCAGTTTTCGAAATTTCGAAATTCTCTTGAAAATTAAATTTTCAAATTTCGTGAAAATCTTAATTATTTGCCGGAATTTTCGTTTCCAAAATTCCAAAATCTGAAAATCTCGGTTGATTTTGTTGAAGGAAGATTTAAAAATCACTGTTTTCGAAAATTCGGGTTTTCCCTTGAAAATTAAAAGTTTAAATCACGTGGGAATCTTCATTGTTTGCTGAAATTTTCGTTTCGAAATTTCCAAAATCTGAAAATCTTGGTTGATTTTGTTAAAAGTGCACAAATCCAAAGTCGTTTTCGAAAATTCTGAGAACCAAATGTTTAAATTACATCTGAAGAAAATCTTCGTCGATCTTCTTTAAGATAAATCAAAAATTCCAGTTTTCGAAATTTCGAAATTCTCTTGAAAATTAAATTTTCAAATTTCGTGAAAATCTTAATTATTTGCCGGAATTTTCGTTTCCAAAATTCCAAAATCTGAAAATCTCGGTTGATTTTGTTGAAGGAAGATTTAAAAATCACTGTTTTCGAAAATTCGGGTTTTCCCTTGAAAATTAAAAGTTTAAATCACGTGGGAATCTTCATTGTTTGCTGAAATTTTCGTTTCGAAATTTCCAAAATCTGAAAATCGTGGTTGATTTTGTTAAAAGTGCACAAATCCAAAGTCGTTTTCGAAAATTCTGAGAACCAAATGTTTAAATTTCATCTGAAGAAAATCTTCGTCGATTTTCTTTAAGATAAACCAAAAATTCCAGTTTTCGAAATTTCGAAATTCTCTTGAAAATTAAATTTTCAAATTTCGTGAAAATCTTAATTATTTGCCGGTATTTTCGTTTCCAAAATTCCAAAATCTGAAAATCTCGGTTGATTTTGTTGAAGGAAAATTAAAAATCACTGTTTTCGAAAATTCGGAAATCCCTTGAAAATTAAATGTTTAAATCACGTGGAAATCTTAATTGTTTGCTGAAATTTTCGTTTCCAAATTTCCAAAATTCAAAAATCTTGGTTGATTTTGTTAAAAGTGCACAAATCCAAAGTCGTTTTCGAAAATTCTGAAAACCAAATGTTTAAATTACATCTGAAGAAAATCTTCGACGATCTTCTTTAAGATAAATCAAAAATTCCAGTTTTCGAAATTTTGAAGTTCTCTTGAAAATTAAAATTTCAAATTTCGTGAAAATCTTAATTATTTGCCGGAATTTTCGTTTCAAAATTCCAAAATCTGAAAATCTCGGTTGATTTTGTTGAAGGAAAATTTAAAAATCACTCTTTTCGAAAATTCCGAATTCCTTTAAAAATTAAATGTTTAAATCACGTGGAAATCGTAATTGTTTGCTGAAATTTTCGTTTCAACATTTCCAAAATCCGAAAATCGTGGTTGATTTTGTTAAAAGTGGACAAATCCAAAGTCGTTTTCGAAAATTCTGAGAACCAAATGTTTAAATTACATCTGAAGAAAATCTTCGACGATCTTCTTTAAGATAAATCAAAAATTCCAGTTTTCGAAATTTTGAAGTTCTCTTGAAAATTAAATTTTCAAATTTCGTGAAAATCTTAATTATTTGCCGGAATTTTCGTTCCAAAATTCCAAAATCTGAAAATCTCGGTTGATTTTGTTGAAGGAAAATTTAAAAATCACTGTTTTCGAAAATTCGTAATTCCTTTGAAAATTAAATGTTTAAATCACGTGGAAATCTTAATTGTTTGCTGAAATTTTCGTTTCCAAATTTCCAAAATTCAAAAATCTTGGTTCATTTTGTTCAAAATGGACAAATCCAAAGTCGTTTTCGAAAATTCTGAGAACCAAATGTTTAAATTTCATCTGAAGAAAATCTTCGTCGATCTTCTTTAAGATAAATCAAAAATTCCAGTTTTCGAAATTTCGAAATTCTCTTGAAAATTAAATTTTCAAATTTCGTGAAAATCTTAATTATTTGCCGGAATTTTCGTTTCAAAATTCCAAAATCTGAAAATCTCGGTTGATTTTGTTGAAGGAAAATTTAAAAATCACTCTTTTCGAAAATTCGGGTTTTCCCTTG